GCAACATCGAGGGCCGAAGGGCCTGTACTGCGCTGTAATGTTCTATGCTCTAATAGCAAAGGTTTGGAGGGATGTGGCCAAACACAGGCATGTGGTACTAGCTAAGATTGGGAACATGGTCGATGTAGACTAGTCGGACCGAAGGATCTGTTTCCGTGCTGTATGACTGTGTAACTGACCATCCCTAGTTAGCGTTGAGAAGGTGGGGGTGAGCTGCCTTTTTGAACCGCTGCAGTCCTCCTGCTGTGGGTTGACCCACAATACTATTAGGGAGGGAATTCCAGGATTTTGACCCAGCGACAGTGAAGGAACGGCGATTTATTTCCAAGTCAGGATGGTGAGTGACTTCGAGAGGAACTTGAAGGTGATTGTTTTTCCCATGTATCTGCTGCCCTTGTCCTTCCAGATGGAAGTGGTTGTTGGTTTGGAAGGTGTGTCTGAGGATCTTTGGTGAATTTCTGCAGTGCATCTTGTAGATAGTACACACTCCTGCTACCGAGCGTCAGTGGTGGAGGGAGTGGATGCTTGTGGATGTGGTGCCAATCAAGCGGCTGCTTTGTCTTGGATGGTGTCAAGCTTCTTGAATGTTGTTGGGGCTGCATTCATCCAGGCAAGTGGGGAGTATTCCATCACACTTCTGACTTGTGCCTTGTCGATGGTGGACAGGCTTTGGGGAAGTCAGGAAGTGAGTTACTCGCTGCAGGATTCCCAGCCTCTGACCTGCTCTTGTAGCCACTCTGTTAACGTGATGAGTGCAGTTGAGTTTCTGGTCAATGGTAACCCCCATGGATGTTGATAGTGGGGGATTCAGTGATGGCAATACCATTGAATGTCAAGGGGCGGTGGTTAGATTGTCTCTTATTCAAGATGGTCATTGCCTGGCATTTGTGAGGTGCGAATGTTATTTGCCACTAGGGCTATGGATAGGGCTTTAAACTAAGTAGAGGTGGGATGGGTTTAGTTAAATGAAATATTTGGGAAAAAGTTAAAGTTGTGGGGTTTGGGGATTGGGGGTTGGTGGGG